CCTATCAGTAGGTAGGTAGCTTCACTCTCCACTCTTGTCTGTGGCCACGCCGCTGACTCTGGGCTCAAGAGTCCCCAGGTCTCCCCACACTGCTGGCCAACCAGGTCCCCATCTGGGTCCACAGAAGCCCACTGAACATTGTAGGGCTTAGCTTGCCGCTTCATTGCTGCTTTTACCCCACTTGCCCCTATCGGCGATACGTGTGGTCACCAATCAGAGTGCGTATTTCCGTTGAGTCTTAGTCTTGGAAGGGCCATTGCCTCTTTAAAGGAAGAGACGTGATAGGTGCTTTTCCTTCTTAACCATACAATATTGTGAATTATATGATAGTTTACATGAGAGAACTTTAGTTTTACATTCATTCCACCATGTATCGTTTCATTGCCATGGTTCCATATGGTATCATCTTGAAAACTTGTAAGCCAGTCACTTACATGTATCATCCAAGAAAAGACCAGAGTCTGAGAACAAGTTTTGTGGGTTTTTTAATGTTTTATTGTGAATTATGTGATAGTTTGCAAGGGAGAACATTAGCTTTACATTCATCCTATATCATTTCATTGTTATGGTTACAATCCCCTCCATGAATCATCAACCAACCAAAGGGTATACTCTGCAAGCCTTCCCCCAGTCGTCAGCACAAAGCCCCTCTCCCTCTCTGGGTCTAGAGTCCCCACCTGCTCCATCTCTCCATGTCATCGTCTCTGCCTCCATCTCTAGCATCACTGTCTCTCAGGGTAGGGTCCCGCACTCTGCTCTTCTCCCTTGATGGTCCAGGGACCTCCGCTCCTGGACTGCAAAGTCAACCACTCCCCTCCTTTTGCTACAAAACGTCCACCCTTACATTCCCAACTCTTGCAGTCAGTCCTGATAACAATAATTCACTATTGTACCACAAGGAACCTATCGCTATCTCCTTTCATCAGCCCCGCCCAGACAGATTGGCTACTACTCAGTGGGAAGTCTTCCTTCCTCCACACCCTCTGGATCTAGGTTCCCTCTTGAAAGCTTGTAAGCCAGTCGCTTCTTGCCTTTGTAGCCCCCCATTTTGGGTAGCCAATGTCCAAGTTGCCCATCCCTGTCTACTCTGTGTATCAAGGGGGTGGGAATGATCCTCGCTATAAACATTTGTTCCATCTTTTGAACTACTGCATCCATAGGTGTAGCGAGAACAAGTTTTGAGGGACACTCACTAACATTTAGATGAAAAGTCAGCTATGAAGGGGACAGAGGAAGTGAGGACGAGAGGGCAGGAAAGAGTACAATATTGCGTGCAACACTGCAGAGGCTGCAAGAGAGGCTTACAGAGAGCAGAGAAGTGTGAAATAATGGCACATACCAAAATATGAGGATTCCCACCCTCACCACCTCTCAAAAAAAAACCCCTACTCCTCCAAATAGAGGATGGAACTTTACATTTGAGTGCTTATTACAGTGACTGAGTGTCAAGAGATGTAGGTATCATAGAACATGAGGTCTTCCTAGCTGTGTCCTGAACAGAACAGCACAGGGTATACATGGATGCTAACGTTTGAAAGAAGATAACTAGGAGGAGGGGTAAGGACTTGGTACTTCTGTATTTGAGGCCCAGGTTGCTTCGCTACATTAGGTAAGACACCATGAGAAATGCAAGTTGGATCCTAAAACAACTCAACTTTTCAACTGCAAAGTGTAGCCCTATTATTTTGAGGCAGATGGGTGAGATATTAGCACAGATCAGAAGTCACGTGGTAGTCTCCCAAATGGGCATTTGGAAGGAAACTTGGTTCACTTAGATTTTTAAAATATTGTATGGTTAAGAAGGAAAAGCAGTCTTTTTATCACTGTAGTTATTTAATAATATCAGGCTTGTAGTTGTTAAGTGCATTTAAGTCAGTTCCAGACCATAGCAACCCTATATAGGGTTTCCGAGGAGCACATGGTGAGCTTGAACTGCTGACCTTGCAGTTCAAACCAACCTTGGGATCCAGCACATTAACCCACAGCGCCACACCAGGACTCACACACACTCAGTCATAGTAAACCTGTGGGTCAGGTTCTATACTTGACTGTGATGCTAACTGGCTGTGTGGATCTGTCTCTCATTTTTCTCTGGGGAAAAATGATGATGCTCACTAAGGTCTCTTCCAGCCATAACATTCTATCTAACATTCTGTGAAAATGAAACAGCACTTTGCCCAAGGTAAAAAGGAAGTGTTTTGATAGATTTAGAAGCCAGATGGAATGCTAACAGTATGTGGTTCTCAAAAGTTACCTTAGGATACTCTTTGGTTG